TAAGGAAGATAATCCATTGCTAACCCCTTTTGAGCCTTTGAAGCAGAAGTTTCTTTTCTATACGAAAAAACCTTGAATTTTAACCTGGGGCAGGGTAGTTTTTAGTTAATCTGACTGAGTGTTCAAAATTCATAAGGAAGATGTTTTTTTTGAAGAGAAACTACGAGGGCTATCCTTCATGTATAATGAATCTAGAGGATGTGGAACCACAATGTTATCCCTCATTCATCAAGAAACGAGGCAGTCATAATTCTCTCAACAAGTAAAGACAAGCTAATGTCACAGTTTTGTTCAAAAATCAAAAATCAAGTAAAAAGAAAAAGCCTGCTAAGTCGAAAACTTGAAAACGTGCGACTTAGGCAAAAATTAAGGCATCCCGCTGGACTATCAATTCAAAAGAATTAGTCCAGGCAAAAGTTAGGGAAAATAAAATTGCAAAGAAAAGGACTGCAAAGAAAAGTCCTTAGCAAAGAACAAATTGGTGACTACAAACACGAAGACATGAGGGTGGTTTCTACTCCGAAAGCCTCGTCGTTTCCTCGACCGTCACAAAATCCTTTTGAGAGATGAACACTCATGTTTGAATTAACTGAACATAGGGTTGGAGAACATCATGAAGAATGGGTGGGCACCAAATATTTTGAGCCTTAAAATCTTTTTTCTAAAAAACCATGAACTAGACCACGTTACAAACTTCAAAAGTCCTAATTGAAGCAAGGTTATTTTGAAAGCATACTTCAATGAGATAGTGTTCCTGACTCCCATGAATGTTCTAAATAGTTATGTTGGTATCATATGTTTTTCCTATACAAAAATAAATGGTGCTTTAACTCGCAAAATTTGTGCGATATCTTTTCAAAATCTTCAAGACTTACATAACTGTTGCATTAGAATTTTCATTCTCATAATAAAATTTTCTAACTGCAAAACATTTGTTTGATATCAAGGAAACTCACATATAAGCACCAATGATGAGTCAGCTCTTAAGGCCTGAAACTCTGTTGAGTAATTGGAGAATCATTTCAAAAAAAATCATATCCAGGGGCATGTCACCTGAAGACCATAAGCACGGACATGTTGCTTCTCCCAGTTAATGCTTTTCCAACTTGTTTACCCTTTTGGGGAAAAATTTGAAGACTTTGTTGTGACAACTACAGTCAATCCGGGGCAATCATATCGAGATTTGATAAATCTCTCTAAGAGTTTGAAGACACCAGAGCATAGTGAATGCCAGGTCTTTTATAAAATCCTCTTGAGACGATTTCTTCTTATCAACCATATAGCTTAGGGCATTTTAGAAGTGAAGTTATTCGCAAGAATTGTCGTGCATCACACAGCTTATCATCAGTAAACTTGGGGCATCCAAAATTGGTCCCAGGGGCAATCTAGATTTTTCAAGATATGTGATATGTATTGCACACATTATCAGAGGGTGGTGTTCCCAGTATCTCCAGCTAAGCATGACTTTTTCCAGCTGAAGTATTGTTCGTGTTGTTATCCTTTCAATGGATTGTCGACAATAGAAGACTGGACTTTGGGTTTTCTACCTGAAAATATCTTCCTCTCCAAAGAGATTTAAGCCTTGTAAAAGGACTTTGCTCCAATGATGGCTTTTGTTTTCTATCTCCAGTAATGTTACCATCCTGTTGAGATTAGCCGAGTGTCGAGTTGTACTGTGATGTCTTATCATTTTCTGTCTATCTCCCCTGTCTGTTTTGTCAGCATATACATGACATTCATTTATTCATTCACACTTGCATCATGCATGCACAGTTGTATTTGTTGATGTCTTTGAGTACGTATACCTTGGTATGTCTATTCAAATAGCGTATTTGATCTTTCCAAATAGAGTGTCAACTTAAGCAGAAAGTGCGCCTCTTTTTCTAATTCCCCACTGAGTTAACTCTCGTGGAAGAATCTTGCTTTAGCTTTCCTTTTCCATCTCTGGATAGGATAAATCCCCATTTGAGTTGTTTCCTCATTGGGTGGAGTCTTGTTTGACTATTTTCTCTCCAGTTTATTCCTGGATTGAGCTTTGTCTCTTGTGAACGATACCCTGTGGATCTCTCTAGGCTGTGAAACCTAGATGGAGAGTGCATTTATTTTGCAACGTAAATACTTGGTCTCCTCAAGAAGGATTTACTCATGGTTCCCCATTGAAGATGAACTTTATTCCCTAGTAGTGTTATCACAACCCTCTTCTGGAATATCGACATGACAACAAGCGACTGACTCTTTATTTGAGCAGTTTGATTATTTCTGATTTCTCTACGACAAATGACGGTCTCTTCATGAGCAGTTTGTCCATCCTCGATGAAATTATTGATTCTCACCTCCAGCAATATCTTCATGATATTTTATGGGTATCTTTGAGAAAACAGCAAGCGGCAGTCTCTTCATGGACAACTTGTATGTTATCAACACTTTTAAAAATAGCAAGCGGCAGTCTCTTCATGAGCAACTTGTGTGTTATTGTTATCTTTGAAAAACGGCAAGTGGAAGTCTCTTCATGAGCAGCTTGTACGGAAAATGGCAAGTGGCAGCTTCTTCATGAGCAGCTTGTACGTTAGTATTTTTGGAAAACAGCAAGCGGCAGTCTCTTCATGAGCAGCTTGTGTGCTTTGATATTCTTTGAAGACAACAAGTGGCAGACTCTTCATGAGCAGCTTGTATGCTTTAATTTTCTTTGAAGACAGCAAGTGGCGGTCTCTTCATGAGCAGCTTGTATGTTATTGACACCTTTGAAAGGAAGCAAGTGGCGGCCTCTTTATTTGAGCAGCTTGTGTATCCCCAGCAATAATGTCTACTCAGCAAATGGCATCCCTTTCGGAAAAGTCCCGTGGAGAAGTTTGTTATTTTATCCTTTTCAAGCGATATCTTGGTCAGAGAAGAAATGTGTTACCGTTCTTGGTAAAATTCAGAAATCAGAGATGTTTATCTCCAGTCACAGTACTGATGTCAATCATTTTGTTTTCCAGTCATAGTACTAATGTCAATCATTTTGTTTTCCAGTCACAGTACTGATGTCAATCATATGCTTTTCCAGTCTCAGTACTGATGTAAATCATTTCCTTTTCCAGTCACAGTACTGATGTAAATCATTACCTTTTCCAGTCTCAATACTGATGTAAATCATTCAAGAGTCTCTTATTTGAAGTCTATGACTTTGTTTCCCCAGTGGTGTTATAATTTGTTCCCCTGTAGGATTACTATAATATGCTTGGTTTCTCCAGCATAGTTTGTCTCATATGGCGTCATTCCCCATAAAATTCAAAACATCACATTCATATCATATCATAAACATAATTGCGGTATCTTAAGGCCAAAAATTGTGTATTCTATATTTAAGTCCCTTCAATCTCGTTAGATAGAAGAAACTTAAATAGGGGCAGCTGTCATACCCCAATTTTTGACCTAAGATCCCAGTTGCATTTTGCATTTTTTATACAAAAGTCAAGGTCACTAAATACGGTCGGTTTTAACCTCTCACCTTCGAGCTTTGACTATGTGAAGATTGTCAAGTGTTTTGAACATTTTTAGCCTATGTATCACTAATTTCTAATCGCATACAAAGGTGTATGTTCATGTTTTCTTTTGCTTCATGTGCAGAGACAGGTCTGAATCAAGAGCATCAGGTGTCGCGCCTCAATTAAGGTTTTGAGTCTCCCAAGCCAGAAGTACGGTTGATTGTGGATTCTCGAAGACTGATTCATCAAGGCACAACTGTTGCACCCTAAATTTCTCCCCTAATATGTTTTAGTCGCACTTTCATATCATATTTTGTCATTTGGTTACAATCATTAGTAAATAGCTTCATTCATTACATTTGCATCATTTAATCGTGTTTAAGTTAACCAAAAGTCACTTTAAATCGATATTTGCATCATTCTGTAGTGGAAAAATACCCGACATTTCACTTCATGCATTTTTACCTCTTTACTCTTTTCTTGCATTGCTCAAAATTGTTTATATGTCGATAATAAAAATATTCTGGTTTTACAGACAGACTGTTAAAAGCAATTCGACACTATACGAAAATTAGCGAGAAAAATATTTCAAGTTTTCACCTTTTACCGATCATTTTATGAATCTGCGTCTCGCGTAGATTATGACGGTATGCTCGCTTTATTTTTTCGGTACAGTTTGAAGTCTCGTTTTTAACCGTAAACGCCTGTTTAGCCTGATATTTTAATTATCATTTTATTTCGATTTTTGACCTTTTGAATATTTTTTTCTTTAATCTTTGTGACATGTAGATTATTTTAATGTGTTCATTTTATTTTTTCGGATGAATTTTCGTTCGTTTTTTTATCATTTTCAGTCATTTTAGGTCTTTATTTTTTATTCAGAAAAAATTCAAAAAATCATTTTAAATTGAATTAATTTAAATACTTTCAGTTTTTATTTCATTTTATCATTAAAAGGGCTTTTTAGTCACAAAATAATGTTTATTACACCATGTTTGATTCCTATTGGTTGTTAATAGAAGTTACGGATCAATAAATTGCCAAAACAGAATTGAAGTTTTGAACGGATGTGATTGAATCTCAGATTATATTTTTCCTTTTCATTTCCTATATAAAGCCTCTTATTATCTTTACACAAAGAAGACAAAAAAAAAAAAGGAAAGCAGTAGCAGTAATCTACTTTCTCTCTTAAACTTTCTACTCCCTCTTCTCTCTACCTAACAACAAATAACAACACAACTACACCAACAACAACATTCATAAAACCTCTAATTTACACTACTACCATGTAAATATTATACTTACAAACAAAAACCAACACATAAACCATTGTATATATAGGTCCGCTGCATCTATTTTCAAGTCAATAAGTACTCAAATTCAATTCTATCTTTTTTTTCAACCAAAACAATTTTCCATCATCTCTTAGCTTCACATTTTTTATAACTGTAAATATAACTTTTTTTCTAACAGACCATACAACAGTAACTACAATCCCACAACAAGTAAACCAAAAAACATGAAGGAGAAGACTCAAAACAAAATATGAAAAAATTGTTGTGTTGTAGTCTTTGTTTGATTGTTGTGCAGGAAAATACAGAGAAGAAAGAAAAAGATCCGGTCATCCTTTCCAGTGGCATTCATATGCGGATCCGTCGATGTCAGAACTGTGTGCTTCCACATCGCCACCTCAAGATCCACACGGCGATGCCTCATCCATCCGGATCGCGATCTCGTCCAACACCCTTCGTCTTTGATTCCATCCATCGCGAGCAGATCTGCTACCACCAGCGGCAACCAATAGCCCCGCCTTGTGATGACTCCACCACCGGTTGCCCCATGCCACCATCTGACCCGATCCGCGACTGCTCCTTCATCAATGCAAACCTGAGTCAGCCACAACACCACACAGATCCGCTCCCTACCTACAAGACACCACAACATCTCTGAAACCACAATCGGCCTCCCTCTGTTTGCAATAACATTGACAACCCGCTCTACCCGCAAAGCTCAGGAGACCTCTCTAATCTCCAACCATGCTACTTCGCGAGCCTTTGTACAGGTAGTATCGATTTCCATGTTTCAGTATTGTGTGCGTAGCATTAAGTCTTGAATGTTTGGATATGAAATTGTTTGTGTGAGCAATGGAAAGAAAGAGAGAAAAATGAGATTTAGGGAAGAAGTGGAATTAGAACAGTGAGATAATCGTGGAGGTGTTGTTGACTATGGTTGTTATTGTTTTATCTTTTATTTTATTTATGGTAAATTAAACTATGTTTTTTTAGTAGTTGGGCCTTACAGGTCTGAGCTTAAGGTTTGATGGCTGATCATACTCCTTAAGATTTATAGTTACACCCCATTTAGGTATTAGTAGTATAATTAGTTTAAATTTCAATTAGGTTGATTAATTGTATCAAATCTATTTAACTTTGTGCTTGATTTTTCCAATAAGTCTTAGTTAGTTTAATCAACTTTTGAATAATTTAATTAGTTTTATCAATTATCTTAGTTTTTTTTTATTATTCAAAAAATGACAAAAATAATAAACCTTATAGTCCACTCTAAAAAAAATATATATATATAAAAATATTAGTAAATCTTATATTTAGATTTAGTTTAGTATTAATTTAGAATTTTTTAATTAGTTTAGATTTATTTTATAGCTTTGAAATATTTAGAATCATAATTAATAACTTTAGAATTTTATTTTGTTTTAGTTTTATTTTATAACTTTAGAATTTTATTTCATTTAGTAAATTTTAGAATTTTATTTGTTTTAGTTTAGTTTAATAACTTTAGAATTTTATTTGATTTTATTTAAGTTAACTTTAGAATTTTATTTGTTTAGTTTTAGTTTAGTGACTTTAGAATTTTATTTGATTTTATTTAGTTAACTTTAGAATTTTATTTGTTTAGTTTTAGTTTAGTGAATTTATAATTTTTATTTGATTTAGAATTAGTTTAATAAGTTTATAATTTTTATTTAGTTTAATAACTTTAGAGTTTTTATTTGATTTAAATTTAGTTTAGTAGTTTCAGAATTTTATTCGATTTAGATTTAGTTTAATAACTTTAGAGTTTTTATTCGATTTAAATTTAGTTTAGTAGTTTTAGAATTTTATTTGATTTAGATTTAGTTTAGTAACTTTGGAATTTTCATTTGTTTTAGATTTAATTTAGTAACCTTAGGATTTTAATTTAATCTAGATTTAACTTACTAAATTTTATAGCCTTAGTTTAGTTTAGATCAAATTCAATAATACTAGATTTTTTTATAACCTTAGAATTTGTAATTAGTTTAGAATTATTTTAGTAAGTAATTTTTAATTTAGTTCGAATAACTTCTTTAGATAATTAGTTATATTCCTTTTTATTTGTATATTTCTGTCATTTCAATATCTCGGTGCCTCTTGATCATTAATTTGTTTTTATCAGATTTATTTTCTTGTGAACTTCTGAATGTTTATATTTTGATATTCATTTTATTTTGCTTACTCCAAGGAAAAGATTTAAATTTGTTGACTTCACGCCATCAAATACATCTCATCCGATCGTGCGAATACCCTTTTTTCATTTTTTGTTTGTTTACTATTTTGCTAAACTCAAGATAATTTTCCCAAAAGACTCCATTTTCAAACTCACACCCCTTTTAAGTCAAAACTTCGACATTAGGTTATCACATCTTCAAAATCTCGCCAACACCTATTTTTAGCCAAACGAATCATTTTAATCAAACAAACAATTTTAACCAAAAACAGATATTTCAAAAGGTTCCTGCGGAGTACCGCAGATGTATTGGATGCTAATACCTTCCCACTGCATAACCAACCCCCGAACTCTAGATCTCTTTTCAAAAATGCATTGTATTTTCATTACTTTTAAGTATTATTTTACATTGCATATTTAAGGGTTTTATTTCGCTCTTTTCCCTTTTCCCTTTTCCCTTGGAAATAATAAAGCGCGGTGGCGACTCTTGCTTTTGCGAGTCAAGTTAATTAATAGCTTGATCTCCGATTTTCACCGCTACTGAATTGGCGACTCTGCTGGGAAAAGATTGACCTCTTGCTGAATGCTGAATATTATTTCATCTGGGCCGAAACTTCGAAAATTCATAACTCGGTCAATTTTTATCGAATTGGGCTCATATTTTTACACAAGGTCACTGACTCATAGATCTACAACTTTGCTTCAAAAGTCGAGACCGGATTATTCTCCGATCAATACCAGTTTTTTATTGAAGAACGTGTCAGAGTCGACACTAGAGCCCAAAATAAGTTTGTCTGAATTGAAACTTCAAAAATTCATAACTAATTCACCGTTTATCCGATTGAGCCGATTTTTGGACAGGAGTTAGTTCTCGATGTCGGATACATTTTGTTTTCACATTTCAACTTCAAAAATTGCACTTAAGTCCCTGCGATTTAGCCTTGAAAGTGACGAACTCAAGTGAACATTGGAGGCCCAATTGCACATTCAAAGCCCATTTTCTTTGCTCTAATTTCCATTATATAATCTCATTCTTTTCACACAAACAAAAGGAGAGAAAAAAAGAAAACCCTTGCCACAACGCTGTCAGAATATCAAATTCTTTCAAGAACTCTAAAACCTTGAAATCCTTATTACAAATCCCCTCTCACTACAAACAAGTCATCCGGTTACAAACCAAGATCTCACTACAAACAAGTCATCCCGGTTACAAACCAACATTTCACTACTTCTTCAGTAAGGGTAAGGCTGGCTTGATCTCCATGATCAAAAGAGCATAAAAGCATTCATGTCACTACTTTTCCAGTAAGGGTAAGGTTGATTTGATCTCCATGATAAAAGGGTATAATCATTCATACATGCCATATTGGCATAAACATTAAATTTCTTCATATATTGGCTTTATTTGTATTTTATGATATATAGTAATTTATTTAATGTGTTCATGAGATTCAACACTGCAGATTTAGACAGGATCCCATGCAGGTTCATTAAGGAACGTTGAGGCCAAAACACAAATGGCCAAAACAAAACAGTTTACACATGACGCCAACAACTGTTTCACCCCTCCAATCAGGCCCGTATACTCCTAAACTTTCTCTCTATTTTTATTGTTTTCCTTTAATTAATTAATCGTTATTCTTTTTATTAATCACTAACCAATTAACATTTTTTCCTAATAAAATCAAAAACACAAAAAATATTTTATTTATTAAAATTAACTTCATCACTTTTATTTTTGTAAATAAATTAATTTAATCAATTTAGCTTTAATTAGATTTAACTTTTAATATTTTTTGCAATATTTAAAATCAATTTAGAATATTAGGTTTTTATTAGCATTAATTCAATTTATTTTATTTCTTTAAAAACTCAAAAATCCAAAAATATTTTCATTATTTAATTTAATTTAATTGTTCATTTAATTTAATTCCATTTAATTCAAAAATAAACAAAAATCCTTTCTTTAATAAAAAAAAAGGGTCAAAACCCAAAAAACTCGCATCCGATTTAATTTCCCACACGCGATCCATTTTATCATATTATTGTATCTGTTTCCCGGTTTGTAATAGATAATTAGGACTTTATTTATTTATCGCTTTCTTTTATTTTCCGCAATTTAAATTAAAGGGTTTGTTTTTGGCGATGTAAATACCCGACGCCTCGTAATAGTTTAGATTTAATTTCCGCAATTTAAAATTCCGCAAACTATTAACTGCTAGATGTATGCTAACTAGGCTATGCATGTCAAGATCTCTCTTAAATTAAAATCAACCGTAGCTCACCATCACATGTACAAAGATAACATAACTGAAACCTGACACACTCGCACATGCCACTCTTAGGGTACGCCTCACTTGGTTGCCTCGACGTGGTCATTGAGTATAGAGTGTTTTAAAGGTCGCCCTCCTGTCTAAAGATCAAAGTTGTCTCGAAACGGTTGCCTCGGATAAAAAATGATCTAAGACATTAGGGTTACCGCTATGGCGTCCCACCATTGCTTTAGTGACCACATGTCCCTAAAATCGAATTGACCCGAAAACTCCAACAACGGTGCTACCTACTTCTCAATAGTGGGATGACACTGTCTAAAGGACATTTACACAGCTTAATTTCTTTTGAGTAGGTAGAGGTTCTCGGGTACTTGCTCTTTCAAAACAAAAAAAAAACTTTTCGCACTTACACTCTCTTTCAAACAAAAACTCTTTTCGAACCCACAATCACAAAGAAAAACAAACTTTTGAAAACACAATGAGCAAGTACCTAAGAGCCCGTGGATAACCACAGATAGAAAGGGTGCTAACACCTTCCCTTTCTATAATCTACCTCCCGAACCCGAGAAACAATCTCGAAAAGGAATTTTTCTATGCTTTTGTCCTTTCCTTGTTGGATAAAATAAAAGACGGTGGCGACTCTTGCTTACCACGACATTTTGCGAAAACAAACGCAAACGCGAACCAGCATTCCAAAACAGTCAGTTCTATTTCCACCGATCACACTCTGGTTTTTTTCTTGAAGCCTCCTCTTCAACCTTCAACTAGCTGAGATTTCTTCAATACACAGATGAATGTTATCTCAAACCACTTGATTCGGTTCAAGAAGGATGTTTGATTTTCTTTGTTGTTGTTGAATTTAAGATGGTTGAGAAGATGATGAAGATGAAGTTTCTTTAGGCTTCTGGTTGCTCACAATTATTTGCACACAATTCAATATGTTGCTATGTGCTGACTGAGAAAAATGCTTGCTTATATTTATAACAGAAAACAGTTAGTCAAAAAGAAAGTGTTATGAGTCGATGCATGTTGGTCATGTGTTGACTCATGTTAGTTATGTGTGACAGGATGAGTCGACACATTATGTTTTGAGTCGATACAAAATCATGTTATAACGTTTTATAGAACCAACACTTTTATATCCGTCGATACATAACACGTATGTGTCGATACATATTGATTGTA